TGCAAGCTGCGAGAGCGGGCCTTCGACCTTGAACAGAGAGCGCCAGCCATCGCCCTGCCACAAGCAGCACCGCCACTGGGGGCCACCGACGGGGCCCCCAATGTGAAAAACATCCCTGCAAATGAAATATGCATTCAACCTGGAAGAACAAAAGAACGACTGGAGGGACGGCGACGACGTAGGTCCCTGGATTTTGCCCTGGAGGTTGAGAAGCCTGAGCCCCCTGAGGCCCAGAAAAAAAAGAAAATAAAAAAAGAGATAAGAAAAAAAGAAAAAAAAAAAAAAAAAAAAAAAGAAAGAAAAGAAAAAAAATAAAAAAAAACAAGAAGAAAAAAGAAAAAAAAATAAAAAAAAAAAAGGGGAAAATAAAAAAAAAAGAAATAAAAAAAAACAATAAAAAAAAAGAAAAAAAAATGAAAAAGAAAAAAATAAAAAAAAAACAAAAAAGAAAAAAAAGACAAAAACAAAAAAAAAAATAAAAAAAAGAGAAAAAAAAAAAAAAAAGAATAAAAAAAAAAAAAAAAAAAAAAAAGAGAAAAAAAAAAAAAAAAAAAAAAAAAAAAAAAATAAAGAAAAAACAAAAAGCACAAAAAAGAAAAAAAAAGAAAAAAAAAAAAAGAAAGAGGAGAAAAAAAAAAAAAATGCCCGGCGTGTAAGATCGTCGCGCCAGCTCCGTGCGCCCAGTGTCTTCATGGACGCATTGTCACGCCCGCTGCTCCAGACGCCGGCGCTTCGTTGTCCGCAAGGACAACGACCAATATACGCAATTTGCCATTTCGGGGAAATGTTTATCAGAACCATAGGAAGCGGTTTCCGCCTGGGAGTTCCTCGCAATTCACTCACAGCCGCGGGTGAGCGGGCGGCAGTGATACGCCGTAGGCGTCTGAGATAGCAGTCAAGGAAGGAGGGAAAGGAAGGCAAGAGAGGGAAAGGATGGAGAGGGGCGATTATCCTGGAGGGGGGGGTGTGCCCATCCGAGGGAACGGTGCACCCCCCCTCCCCCCTCACATCACGCTAGTTCAGACAGCGCGCTTTCCAATTTTTCGATCCGCCCCCGCTCCGCGAACCCCATTGGGAGGTCGAGATCCCCACTCTGCAGTGGGGTTCGCGGAACGGGGCGCCCCCCCAGGTGCATGTTATCTTCGCGCTGGCGGCGGGATGGCACCCAGGGGGACGTGCCTACTGCGATGAAAGAAGAAAGGAGGAGGAGGAAGGAGAGAGGAGGAGTGGAGCAGCCGAAAGCCCTTTTGTGCTTTCCCCGGCGTGTGGAATGCCTATTTGGCAATTTTCGCGGGCTCGCGCCCGCGCAATCGTGCTCGCCCGCAGGCGACAGGGCATTCCACCGCCCTGGTTTTTGCAGGGCCAAGGCTCGAATCGCCCTCCCCGCTTGTGCTGTTGATTGTTGTGTTGTAAGTGGTTGTGATGGTGATGGTTGCGTTGGTTGTGCTGCTGGTGGTTGTGCTGGTGGTGGTTGTGCTGATCGTGCTGGTGGTGGTTGTTCTGCCAGCGGTTGGGCTGATGGTGATGGTGGCGCTGGTGATGGTTGCGTTGATCGTGGTTGTGCTGGTTGTGGTACCAAGTTGCGCTGGCGCTTGTGCCGTTGGTGATTGTGCTGTTGGTGGTTTTGCTGGTGGTGGTTGTGCTGGTTGTGCTGCCGGTGGTTGTGCTGGTGGCGGCTGTTCTGACTGCACTGGTGGTGCTGGTGGTGGCGACTGTGCTGATTGTGTTGGTGCTGGTTGTTCTGCCAGTGACACAGGGAGCGACAGTGCAGAGCCACATCGTCTCCAGCTGGTGGTAGTCATTCGCACCACGGCTTGGCCGCAATGCGGCCACAAATGAATATATTAAGTTGTGCTGGTGGCGGCTGTCGCCACTGTTAATGCGCAACCCCTGAAAAGGATTGCTGGTGGTAGTTACGTTGGTGGTAATTGCACTAGCGGTTGTGCCGGCGATGGTCGCGCTGGTTGCGCTGGTGCTCGCCCGCAGGCTTTTGCGGGGCCGAGGCTCGCATCGCCCGCCCCGCTTGTGCTGTTGGTGGTTCTTCTGGTGATGGTTGTGCTGGTTGTGCTGCCAGCGGTTGTGCCGATGGCGATGGCTACGGCGACGGCGACGGCAACGACGACGACGACGAGGGCGTCCTTGAAGGGCTCCGAGGCGTGCCTCCGACTGCGGGCTCGTCATCCTCTTCCTCCTCCTCCTTCTGCTCCTCCTCCTCCTCCTCCTCCTCCTCCTCCCCCTCCTCCTCCTCCTCCTCCTCCTCCTCCTCCTCCTCTTCCTCCCACTCCCCTTCCTATTCGTGGAGTCGGAAAGCGAGAGATGCTGCACCAGAAAGTGCCTAAACCGCTGAGCCATGCGCACGAAATTCTACGAACGGGGCCCCTCGCCTTCGGTTTCCTCCCTTTCCTCCACTCGTCCTCCTCCTCCTCCTCCTCCGAGAAAGCGGAACCTCTTTGCCTCCTCCTCCTCCTTCTTCTCCTTCTCCCCCAGAGACCTCTGAGAGAGCGGGGCAAACATCATCATCATCATCCTCATCATCATCGTCATCATCATCATCATCGTCGTCGTCGTCGTCGTCGTCATTCTAATCGTCCTCTTACGCATCCTCATCCTCTTCATCATCGTCGTCATCATCATGATCATCATCATCATCAGCATCACCACCATCATCACCAGCCTCCTCCTCATCATCCCCCTCATCGTCATCATCGTCATCATCATCATCATCATCATCATCATCATCATCATCATCATCTGCATCATCATCACCATCATCATCACCATCATCATCATCGTCATCGTCATCGTCATCGTCGTCATCATCCCCTTCCTGCTCCTCCTCTTCCCCTCCTCCTCCTCCTCCTTCCTCCCTCCCCCTCCTCATCATCCTCATCATCATCATCATCATCATCATCATCATCATCATCATAATCATCATCATCATCTTCACCATCATCAGTGCCGGAGCCCGAAACGGGCCTCCAGACCTCGAAGTTCGAAGTTCCTCCTGCTCCTCCTCCTGCCCCTCCCCGTCCTCCTGCTCCTCCTCTTCCTCCTCCTCCTCCTCTTCCTCCTCCTCCTCCTGCGCCTCCTCCTCCTCCTCGATTATCAAAAAAGCGGCGCGGCCATCGTCGTTGCGATCATCATCATCATCATCACCACCACCATCATCATCATCATCATCGCCATCATCATCATCACCAGCATCACCATCATCATCATCATCCCATTCTACTGCTCCTACTCGTGCTCATGCTCGCCTCCTTCTCCTCATCATCGTCCTCCTCCTCCTCCGCCTACTCCTACTCCTACTCCTCCCCTGCCTCGTCCTCCTCCTCCTCCCCAGTCTCCTCCTCCTCTTCCTCCTCCCCCTCATCATCATCATCATCATCATCATCATCATCATCATCATCATCATCATCATCCTCTTCCTCCTCCTCTTCCTCCTCCTCCTCCTCTTCCTCCTGACTCCTCCTCCTCTTCCTCCAAATCTGCTCCGAAAACGAAACATGTTGGAAGAGAAAATGACCAAACCGCCTGAGACATCCCCACACAATTCCGCGAACGGGACCCCGTGAAATACCCCCCCGCCGCCCCCCTTAGAGTGCTGAGACGAGCGAATCGCCTGAGTCTGAGTGATGAGTGAGTCTGAGTGATGAGAGAGCATGAGTGAGTCTGAGTGATGAGTGAATCTGAGTGGTGAGTCTGAGTGATGAGTGGTGTGTCTGAGTGAGGACGGAGTCTGAGTGATGAGTGAGTCTTGATGAGTGAGTCTGAGTGATGAGTGAGTGGGGAATCAAAAACCCCATCTTTGGATATGGGGAATCAAGAACCCCATCTTAGGATATGGGGAATAACTTACGTGTGTGTCTGAGTGATGGGTGTGGTGTTCTGTCCTGTTCTGTGTCCTTCCGGCGCGGTCCACCAATAACAAGAACCCCATCTTTGGATATGGGGAAAAAACCATCTTTGGATATGGGGAATCAAGAACCCCATCTTAGGATATGGGGAATAACTTACGTGTGTGTCTGAGTGATGGGTGTGGTGTTCTGTCCTGTTCTGTGTCCTTCCGGCGCGGTCCGCCAATAACAAGAACCCCATCTTTGGATATGGGGAACAAGAACACCATCTTAGGATATGGGGAAAGAGAAGGCCCGTTTCAGCCCTGATCATATGGCTCCTGGCTGAAAATCGGCCGGGATGGTTGCGACACTTCGGCCGCTTTTCCGAGGACCGCGCCGTTACGACAGAATCTGCTCATGCTGTAACGCTTGGGCGGGGTGGGGCACCTGCGCTAAGCCCGCGAGCACTATCAGGGCGCTTGCGAGCACCGGCAGGGCGCCTGCGAGCACCGGGGGGCACCTGCGAGCACCGGCAGGGCGCCTGCGAGCACGGGCAAGCCCTCCCCAAAACGTGCGATCGCTACCGTTACCCAGGGACGGGGGCGTTACTCGGGGATGGACAGAGACCCCTTTAGCAAAACGTGGTTTTGTGAAAACGACCTCGGGCCCAAATCTGGCGGGCGAAAGCCTGGAACATGACGGCTACGGCGCCCTCTCGAGAACCGACAGTGGACAGTTCACTCATCGACGTGTCAGGGCAGGAGGTCTATCCGCCTCCTCGGCGCAGGCGCCTGGCGCCGCGCGCGGCCTTGCTTTGGGGAGCCCTTCTAGTCCGGCGCCGGCCTCGGCCGCCGCGGATCCGTGCCGAGCTGGAGCACCAGTGCGAGGCGCCGAGAAGGGCCCTCCTGCTGGTGTGGTCCCCCCCTCACGCACTTTCCCGGCTCAGGACGGCGTCGTGGACCCCCCTCGCTGGAGGTGGCAGCCCTCCAGCGAGTGCTGGGAGCCCCGGGGTGTCGCCTCTCCTCCCTCCGAGTGCTGGGAGCCCCGGGGCCCGAAACAGGTATTCTTTCCTGGTCGGGGGGGGATCGTCGCAGCCGGCGCGCGCAGCGACGCGGCGGAGTCAGGCAGTGTCGACTCCTTGCCCCGAGGGCCTCACCGTTCTCAGCCTGGATCGTCTTGTTCAATGTCCCGCTTGGCCCCGAAACGGCCCTCCGAGGACCAAGAGTCTTGGACCGCCTCGCAGAGGTCTGGAACCGAGGCAGAAACACCCGTCGAGATTTTCTCGCAGCCCCCAGGACCTGGGGGCTTGAGCCCCCACTCCTGCGGCCCAGGTGTGAGGGCCTGCCAGGAGGCCCCGAACGACAACAACCAGGCAAGGGCATCGGTGTCAATAATGCATGTCCCGTCTCTGCTTCATATGCACGCCATAGGCCCTCCTTGCCGAGGCCAATTGACTATACGCAAGAGTGACCCTGGGTAAGAGTGACCTTTGGTGCGCGGACTCAAGGGGGCAATGTGGCCAAATCCAAGCGCGCAAGCAGCCGCTATCGTATCGCGCCCAGCGATCGGGGGGACCCAGATGAGCCCGCACCAAAGGTCACTCTGGCGAAGGACCACTCTTACGCGTACTCGAGCCAAGCGTGGTGCCTCCTGCCGAGTTCAACCAGCCGGGCTCCAGCCGGCGCTGCGTGCGCTGCAGGCTCGCGAAGGGCACGCCGGGCGGCGAACCAGAAGCCTGTGCAGCGATGCGGGGCGCGGGCATCGAGGCGGAAAGAGGTGCGCGCTGCCCGCGATCGATCGGCGCGCCACGCGCCAAGCGAGCGGACTCTTGCTGCTCCAGGCACTCGCTGCCGAGGAAGCAGAAACGATCACGGCGCCAAGGTGTCTCCCAAACTGGGCATCTTTGGAAGCCCGCTTCGGGCCACCAACGCTGCCCATCACGGATGACAAGCGGGCCCCTCAACGGCATGTGGGCCCGGGTCCTGGTGGAAGCATGTCATGGCTTTTTTCGAATCGACTTCTGTGTCGGTGACGGGGCATCGAAGTCTGAAAATGGCGAAGAGGAAACTTCAAGACCCTGTTCGATTGAATCGTTCCTTATTGACAATCACTGGTCGCGGCTCACGTCTGACAGCGGCGACAGGAACCGTCAGGACAAATTGATTTTTCCAAGGCTGATGCTGCTTCTGGCAAGGCCGTCGAGATACCCAAGGGACAGGCGTCTCGGGTCTGGGCGGGGAGCAGAAACGGCTCAGAAGCCCCCATGGGGCCCTGGCGCGAGGGCTTGGGAAACCCAGACGGACCCAGGGCCGAGAGGGGCCACCCCCACCCTGAACGTCAGGAGACACGCTGCTCCTGAGCCGGGCACGAGGCACGCCAGGGGAGCAACGGCTTGCGCTTGCAGCGAGATCGTCGATATCGAGGCCGAGGTCGCCGTCGTCGTGATTGTCGTGGTCGTCGAGGTCCCCAGAGGCCCCCTGCAGGCCTGTCTGAGAGGCCTCAGGAGCCCCGTCGGTCCTCGGTCCTCGGTCCTCGGTCCTCGTCGTCGTCGTCGTCGTCGTCGTCATCGTGATCCACGTTTTCGTCGTCGTCGTCGACGTCGTCGCCGTCGTCGTCGTCGTCGTCGGCGTCGTCGTCGTCGCGTCGTCGTGGAGGGCGACGTCGAGATCGAGGTCGTCGTTCGTCGTCGTCGTAGTGATCCGCTACTTTGCCGCGAGGTGCTGCAGTGTCCCCAGGTACATTTGAGTTCCCTGAGATGATCATTAAATGCTATGTCGTAAGGGTGCTATGGGGCCCAAATTTCCGGGCGCTCTTGGGCGCGACTTTCCTCGAAACCTTTCGGAGCATGGCTGGGGGTGCATACTTCCCACGTGTCTTCAGATCCCCCCATGGACCGTCCTGAGGCTCTCTTGGAAGCCTTTTCCGTCTCGGGGAGTCAAAGACGGCCCAAGAGGTCCCCAAGATCACCCCAAAACGGTCCCCGATGCCCCCAAATGACCATAGACGGCCCCTGGAGAGGCCCAAGAGGGGAAATCGGTACTCCCTGGCCAAGATGAACCCCGAGACGACATCGAGGCCCCCAAGATGCTCCCAAGAGGGGACTCCGAGGGGCCCCCCAAGACTGACCCGAAAAAGCCTCTTAGAAGTCTCTTGTCAACAACCTACGGGGAACCTGGCAGCTCTCTGACGGTTAACTCGCGGAGTGGCGATCATGCCGCGACGCAGCACCCATCTGGTAACCAGCCAATGAAGCATGTTTCAGACTTCTGGACCTGGGCTTCCCAATGATCTCCCATTGGATACAGCGAGGAAATCACAATCCTCCAATGCAAATGCCCAAACTGTATCTCCCAAAGACATGTCCACGGCTGACTCATCGATCCAGATACGGAAAACTGTGCCGACATGACGTCTATGGTCTATGGGCAACCCTGCCACATTCCAAGCACAACGCCTACATTGGACTTGGCGGCCTCGAAATTGGCACCATCACCAGCACAGAGGGTTGCCTCTGGGGACGATGATCCTAGATTTCGGTGTTGGCGGTAATATTTCAGTCACCTTGGAAGCCGGAATATTACCACCATCACCGAGATCGGGATCTTCTTCCCCTGGTGGATGCAACACCACCGATATTGGTGTTTGTGTCAATCTCCACGCCTGCGACCTACCTCTGCATTTTGTTCTCGCAAGCAAACGGTGTACGATCAGCAGTGCCGACCCGGCCTGGCGGAAACCACGGCGGCGGGAACACTGCGGGAAGACCGGGCACTGCCAGGGGAGGTCGCCACCGGGAGGTCGCCTCGAGGAAGCACCACTCCCTCGAGGAGACGGGGCCCCGACCCCAAGCGTTCAAAAAACCCGCTCGAGCTTCGGCTCCTGGATCCAGGTCTGGACCTAAATGTTGCTTTTCGTTTTTTTTTTCGTTGTTCGTTTTGCTCTACCTGTGTTACTGTACCTCTCTGCCAAAACGAAAAACACAGCCGAAGTCCAGCAAAACAGCGTTTAGGTTCAGCCCTGCCTGGATCCTCGACCCTCACGAGCAGCGGATGAACCCTCTTTGGAGGCAGCCAGGGGGTCTGAGCTGGTTGGGTCCCGGGGAAACAGGTTAAGAGGGGGGGATGGATGCAAATCTGGTCAAAATCGGCCCCTGGCCCCGAATTCAATCCGGATGTTGCTGGGGCCCGTATGTGGACACACCTGCTCGAACGCAGAACCTCGAACCTCTTCCCCCCTTCCTGCTGGCCTGGCCGGAACCCGTGTCGGTGGTTCAAAGATGAGGTCCTGAGGGATGGGGCCCCAAGGATAGGAAGGGATCCAATGGTGGATTTACATTGCTTGAGGCACTTCGTCCTGAAGACCCCATTCCTCAGGACCCCATCTCTGAACCACCGACTGCGCTGGGCCATGCAGACCTCCAGCCAGCTCCAAACAAGCCCTGACTTTAAGTCGGGCCTGTCCCCCTACAGGGGGATTGTCGACGAAAAATAAAACATAGTCACAACAAGTACTCAATAGATGCCCAAAAATACATGTTTTTCCATTATTTTTGAACATTCCCCCTGTAAAGGGACAGGCCCGACTTAGCCCTGACTCCAAACGGCCAAGCACCTTCTCGAGCTTCGATCCTGGAGCCTCGACCCCGAGGAGCAGCTGGCGACACCCCTACACGTTCGGTGCCTGTTCCAGGGGAACCGACGTGGCGGCTCCTGGCGCTACCCGATGTGGGCCTGGTCTGGACCGCACTTGGAAGCCCATCCTGGATCGGATTGGAACGGGATTTGGGCCAGATTCGAACCTCCACCAGGGAGAGACGAGAAGAACGAGGAGGAGGAGGAGGAGGAGGAGGAGGAGGAGCAGGAGGGACGAGGGGGAGCAGGAGGAAAGGCCGATTGCGGTCCAAATGACACCCGAGTTCTGGAAGAGCTGATTTCAATATCGATGTCCAAGGCCCCACTAGAGGCCTCCTGGATGGGGTCCGAGTAAATGTGTTCAGAGGATCGCGCCGCATCGCCGATACATCGGCGATGCATCGGCGATGCATCGGCGACTTCGGAGCTGCATCGGCGACGTCGACAAGAAGCAAATCGGGCTGCACATCAAGCCGCATCGGCGATGCATCGGCGATGCGGCGCGATCCTCCCACCCCATCTACTCCGACCCCATCTAGGAGGCCTAGACCCGCGAACAGACAACGAAGGAACCCCCAACAGTGGTGACCCCCCTTGGCATGTGCCAGAGAAGCAGGTAGGCCGCAGCAAGAGGACCACTCGGGGAGGGCGAGCGCGGCAGCCGCGCCCGCCGAGAGCACCGCGCGCACGCCGCCGTACCGGGCGTGGCTGGGGCAGCGACTCCGCGACCTGAGCGAGGAAGAGAAGCGGGCCTCTGGCGCCAGACTGAAGCCGTCCTCACGTCTCGGCGATAGAGGCGGATCTCGGCCAGAAGAGCATCCTCCGAGAACACGAGACCCTCCGCCCTCCCAAACACACAGAAAATCCAAGGGTACCCCCCCAGGATGCACAAGAGCATCCCACAAACACGAAGAACACTCGGGCCCCCTCCCCGAGCCGACCTCGATCTTACACCTCGGTCCGACATTCGCCCGGGTCATCCGGTGGTGGGGTTGGGGGGGTGGGGGAGGAGACGACCGAAGACCTAGCTTTTCGAGCTGGGCAGCCCACAGATGCCAGCGAGCACCAAAACCGCGTGACTGTCGCTTCGGGCCTGCGCAACCGACAAGGTCCGGTCATCCAGGGAGATGGGCGGGGCGGGCGGGCCCGATAACCCAGGTTCTCGCAGGACCCTTGGCACAGCGACCTCACGCGGCGGCTTACGCGGGCAGCACGCGTGGCACTCCGCCTGAAGAAGAGGGCGCTCACGCGCGACCCTGTGCGCCACCCCAGGCCCTGCCGCAGGTCGGGCTGGAGGGCTCCCTTGAAGGCGCAGGCGTCCTCAGCCCTCGGGGGGGGGGCCCTCGTACGCACCTCGGGGCTCCCCTCCTCGGGGTGCTCTGGGCGTCCTTGAATGACGCCGATCCCGCGGAAGAGGACGCTCCTCTTCCGCGGGCTCGGCGGACGGGAGGCTTACGCGCGAGTGCCCGCGCTCTTCTGCCGTCGCTCACCAAGGCTGAACCTAAACGGTGTTTTTCGTTTTCCTTTTGTTTTCGTTTCCCCTCGTCTTGTCTTCAGTCCGCCTTTAATTGAGGGATGAAAAAACGGCCCTACCCTGGGTTAGAAGTGCGCGGTCTGTAAACCTCCTGGGAACCCCCAAAGCCTAGAGCCGCCAGGATGCGGCACATCACGCAAGGTTCACCCTGTCAGGCCACAGGAGTTTCAGCGCACAGCGCCTCGTAAACCAGGGTAGGGGCTTTTTTTTGCTGCCCTTGATTTAACGCAAAACGACATCGAAACGAAAACGGCCCACGAAATCGACAAAACACCGTTTAGGTCCAGCCCTGTCGCTCACCTGGCGCAGGCCAGCCGATCGTGTCGCTGCCACGCCGCCAGCAGCCGCCCGATGCGGCGCTCGCACGCCGCCTCGCGGCTCGCCGCGGCCCTCTCGGCGGCGGCCGCGCGCCTCTCGGCTGCGCGCCTGAGGCGGAACGTCCCGGACCTCCTACGCCAAGACGAGCTTTTCGATCCGGGCGGTTTCCTGCCATCGCTCGGACGTCCATTCCCTGTGCATGTTACGTTCTCGTGGTTGGTTTTCTGGCTCGATGATCCAGGATGCTCCTCGATGGCCCTCGCCAGAAAAAAATGCACACGTCCGAGCGATGCCAAGGTTTCCTCCGATTTCGGCTTCTGGGGGCCCTTCTCGGACCACGCGACCATCCAACGTGGATCCAGGACGAAGAGCTGCCCCACGCAGGGCGGAGCTGTGGAGCCCTGGGGCCGCGGATGGGACGGAATCACACTGGCGGATGTCTTGGGCCAAGGCGGAACGATGATTTCGGCTTCATGGTTGATGGCAAACGCTCTGGGCGTTTGTGTCTCGTTTGCAGCTTGCCCGTCTTGTGAGTCGACACGTTGGCTTCCAAAACGAGAAAAGCAAATCTGATGCACGACACTTTCGTTTACTTCTCGGCAAAGAACAAGCGTTTCGCGGCGAACACCTGCACACTAATGAAAAACGATTTGGGAAAAAAAAGTGAATACAGTATGGAAGCGCACTCCTGCAAACTATTATTTACAAAATGCGAGTTTGCGAGCATCGAGAGTTGCACACGGAACATTGCCGATCGAATTATATGGGGAAGTGCGCAAAAGGCAGAAGCAGCTGGGACGGAAAAGAAGATAAGAGAAAGAGGATCGGACGTGAAGGGACAGGTAACCTATCGGCCGCACGACCGAGACAACGAAGAAGAACATAGAAAGAGGGAACGAAGTCGAGGGCTGCGCCGATGCAGACGAGGTGGACATGTTGACCAATCTCTCATTTCCAGCAGTAGTTGCAAACGTTTTGAAAACGCACTGCTACCGTATCAGAACTGTTCCCAAACGAGCACCTTCGACCGTTTGCAAAGGGGAGGTGGATATGTTTAAGATTTGCTCGCTGCCCGCTGCAACGTGCGGCCCGTCCTTTCTGCAGTTCCTCCTGCCGACTCCTGCTTACCTGCGAGTGCTCGCGAGTAGACGACCATGCAAACACAACGATGCGAGACATACCTGACATCTAGTCAAAACAGCAAGCCTGGCAGCTGATGTTGAACCAAACATTGCTCCTCCAACTGACATTGAACACGAAAAAAAGCAACTTGCGGCGGAGACATGAAAGCGATACCAAAGCGCGGTGGACACATGTTAACAAATGATCCTGGCGATGGACCCAACCATGTGCAGCTGTGTGTAACGCAGTTGTGGGTATCGTCCTCGGTGAACCTCTCTCTGGGACCACGACGCGTGTGACGGGTGTGCCGAAATTGGCACGGGTATGCCATGCGGATGCTGGCATCGGAGCCGTCGGTGCAGCCCGATCTGAGGCCACGAAACGTGTGAGGGGTGCGCCGACATGCAGGGTGGAACCACATGCGGGCGCTGCCACAAGGGCCTTTGGGGGCCACGAAACGTGTAAGGGGTGCGCCGAAATGGAGGTGGAACTGCATGCGGACCCTGCCACTGGGGCCTTCGGTGGAGCTCCCTATGGGGCCACGAAACGCTGTTGTGGGTGGGCGAAACGCAGGGAGGACGGAGGAGGGGGAGGAGGATGAGACAGAGGAAGGTAGGAGGGAGGGAAGGAAGAAACGCGAGGACCGTCTCTTCAAAACGAGGACACAGCTTGGGTGACCCAACACCACAGGATGGTTGGGAAACGCAATAGTTTTGAGGCGAAAGCTGCGAATTACAAAAAAAGAACAGAAAGACGCCCAGAGAGCTCTCAACAACCCGAAAGGTGCTCATGTGTTCTTGCAGGTTTTCCTGACTCAGGATGCGGTTCAACAACTGCGCATCGCCGAATCAGGGCCCCGTATACCCGGACACGCTAGACCCAGACACCCACCATCCCTCACAACTAATTTTCCCAGACGGCGGCACAAACAAAAGAATGCACTGCAGCACTCCCAGAATAAACCCGGACACAGGCCCCAAAAGCCTGCAAAACCCCTCCAAAACCCGGGCACAAACCCGAATCCTCCAGTGCAGCAAACAAAAGATGCACGGGTGCTGGGAAACGTGACCTTGCAGGAAAGGGTGTCGTTGCCTTGGTTTTCCTGTGTCCTGGTCTCCGGTCCTGGTTTATCTGTGTCCTTTATTTTCCTTCGTTCAGGCTTATCTGTGTTCCTTGGTTTTCCTTGGTTTTCCTGTGTCCTTGGATTTCCTTCGTCCTGGTTTATCTGTGCCCTGGTCTCCGGGGGCCTGACCGAGAAGCTTCTGGACGTGTCCGGACCGTCCCGAACGGCCGCTGAAGCCCCGACCTATGACCCGAAAATCAAACGACGAGCTGTGGGGGACCATCTCAGGGTGGAGGAGGAGGAGGAGGAGGAGGAGGAGGAAGAGGAGGAGGAGGAGGAGGAGGATGTCCGCCCCCGATGGCGAATCCGAACGTCCCTGGGCGGAGCTGGGGTCATCGGGCCCCCATATCTGCGACGAACGGGCGATTCGGGGCTGATGTGCCCTTCTCCCCCCTTAGCCTACGGCGGGTTCGTGTCGTGACGACCCCGGCGCTGGTTCCTGACATCGCGTGTCTCGTTCAGCCTTGAACGATCGGCGGCCTGTCCGATCGCCAAGTCGTTCTATGTTAACCGACTCCGAGCCACCGGCGGCGCTCGACCCAGAACGCCCGCGCTGGGGCCGCCGCCGCGTCCACACGACACGAACCCAACGCATCCCACCCCTGGCGCTGCCCCCGACTGCCTGAGCAGAGCCGCGCGCTGCTCCCTCGCGGCGGCGCGGCGCGCCGCGCGCGCGGCCAGCACCGACTGCAGTCGCTGCGCCGCCACGCCGCGCCGCGCGCGGCGGAGCTCCGCGGCCGCCTCGCGGGCGGCCTGCCGCGCCGCCTGCGCTGCCCTGCGCTGCGCGAGCCTGGCCGCCGCCGCCGGCCCGCTGCCCCCGGCCTGCACGCAGGCCTCGACGAAGGCGGCGCTCAGGCGGGCCCAGGCGGCCTCGCTGTCCTCGCCGCGCGCCAGGTCCGTCCGCGAGCCCTGCGTCACCGCGCCGCCGAGGGCGCACCGCAGGCGCGACATCGTGGCCAGCGCCGTGC